GCACATGCATGTGCAAATACATACATCCACACATCCCACTTTAAAAAAAATTGAAAGGAACCCAGCTGTCAAGGAAACTCAGGTCCAAAAAGAAAAAATGAAGTAGCATACTAGTAAATAACAAAGCTAGGCATAGTATATAACAATCTCTGGTGACTATATTTTTACAAAATATGAACTTAGTAAATCTTAATTATGCTTTAGATATTTATATCTAAATGCTGTACTGATTTGAAATTCACGAGACAACACTAAAATTTACATTCAGTTATAAAATGCTTTCTCGCCTAAAGCTAGATGTGGTGGTACACACCGATAATGCCAACACTCAGCCAGCTGAGACAGGAGGATCCCCCGTTTCAAAGCCAGTCTAGACTACACAACGAGTTCCAGGCCAGCCTAACTACACAGGAAGACAATGGCCTGGGAGGGGGTTAAGGAGTTCTCCTCTAATAAGGAAAAGTTATAGAATTACAGTAAACAGTCAAACTCTGTCAAAAGTATTTACTGAACACCTATTATGTGAATTATTTTAGTTATGAAATATACTTGTATAGATAATACTTTAAACATACTTTAAACAAATTATGATAATGTGTAACTGATAGGAAATTATAAACCACCTGTTTTATATTTATACAAGGTTTGATTTACAAACACTTTTAAAGCAGAACTTTCAGATATTAATATCATACTTAACAATAACAAAAATATATCTTTAAAATATCTATCAAGAGCTAAATTCCATCTTAATTGCTAAGTTTTGACATTAAAAATTATATAAAATGATTTGGATTAGGAAAGGATTCTCAACAAACCAACCAAGAAAAACACTTCAACTTACAGATTTGTACTTGAAATGGGCTCAACAGCACCAAGATAGGTAAATACAGTAATTGTGGAATCAAACTGAGGAACTTAACATTAGAAGCAACCACAAAGAAATTATTTTTACTACTCTAACATAGGAATAATGCTTTCTGTAAGTTACTCATTTCTGGAACAATTTTTATGCGTGCATTTTCTTGTTCCTTAGTCTAAATTCTACACTACCAGTCATTATTAAACAGAGATAGGAGGAACACTCAGACTAGGACAGACCAAATTTAGAGAAAGAAAGAAAAATCTTCCTTCAGTCTAGGCTAAACACACTGACTACACAAAGAACTCCACACATGCAAAAGCACACAGATGTCTGCACTAGTTCCCAGGGCTTAAACAATACCAGTCATTCACTAGCTTTCCTTTTACCTAAATGTGATGTGAGAGTTTAGTCAGCTCTTCTAAATTTCATAACTTAAGATCGTAGACAAAGGCTATTATTTTCCCTCAGCACTGTTTTCAAAAAAAGCAAACTTCATTATTTCTCCTAATAAATAAATCTGAAAATTGTCTCTTGTTTGACAAATGGTGAACCTGACCTGTACTTAATGTAACACTAAAAACACAATCCATGACATAATATCATTCACACTGACAGACAGAATATATATTTAAATGCATGATTTAAAATATCATTTGAAATGTACTCTCTATCACAGTAATTATCAAATGTACACCATTTGGCTGAATTCTATTTGTTTCCAGTTATGTTATTTTTTTAAAGAGACATATGATTCAAAGTAACTTTCCAAAAACTGAAAGAAATTTTGAGAATTGTTGAATAGGAAGGGGAAAAGGGAAGTTATCCTCCTCACTTCTTCTCTCTCGTCCTACCTTAACCAGTCATCAAAAACAATGAAAGATATTCAGGTGTCTGATAAAACCTTTAGGCCTCAGGAAAAAGAGGTATTCTTTAGTAAACTTTCAAAACCTAAAAAAAAAAAAAAAAACACTATTTCTACAGAATCTCCCAATAATATCATAAATCAACTGAGTCTTTGGTGAACTCTCTCTCACATTTGATGCTGAAAAGGAACATGGATAAACTAAAGCCTCTAATGTATTTAAGACTATTTGTTTTAGGTAACAAAATGAGAATGATCAATTCACTCACAATTTTTAGATAGTGAAAGTTTTAAGTGTATACACAGAGAGACAGACAGGAGAGAGACAAAAAGAGAAAGAGAGAAGATTAGCATGTTCTATGATTTAATTATAACCCCTCATTGAATAGTCTAGATGCTGTTCCAGAATTATGACAATTATAACATCAAGTTAAGGGTTATAGTAATCATCCAATCCTCCTTAAGGACCTTTGGTGGCCTTTCAATTCCTGTAACACTCTTTTCGTCTTTACTTACATATAAAACAGTACAAATAAGCATGCTTTAAAGAAGTTGTTCCTCTCAAATTTTGTCCTCAAATAGACAATAAAACTTTAAAAATACACTGCATCTCTCCCCAACCAAAGTACAAATTACTTGAACACACTAATCATTTAACAGATGTATATGTGAATTTCAGTCATCACTCTTATGATGATAAGATTGAATACGTGAAGAAAAAGAAAACAACTGCTTACTTTATACCAAGTATTTTTCCTCTATGACCTCTGAAAGCACCAAAATCTTTCAGGGGCTTGCTGTGTAGTCCAATCTGGCCTTGAACTCACCATGTAGTCCAGACTGGCCTAGAACTCAAAAGCAATCCTCCTGCCTTAACCCCAGAGTGCTGGGATTACAAATATGTGCCACTATGCCCAGTCTCACAATGTTAAGTATTTCACAAAGCAGTAATCTCAAACATTGCAACATGCCCTAAAACGTGTAAGTTGTTAGCAAAACATAAAGTCCATTTCTTAAATACACGTTAAAACAACAACCCAGTTCTCTGATCAGAACAGTTTACTGTACATGCAACCTCTGAGACTGCTTCCTCAGGAGACCCTACCATTTTCCTACCACCAGAGCCCAGAGCTACTACTCTATTGTTTGGGCCTTTATCAAGAGCACCACCTGACTTCCACAGATACCGCTTATATTTCACCATAAAATTAATAAACATATCCTTGTGACATTCCAAAACATCTAACCCTAAAATTTCAATATGCTACTGCCCATGTTATTACTCTTCAGAGTCAAAAAAATGTATTCATTTATCAGGCCTCACACTAAGACAAACACATAAAAATCTTTCATTTTGCCCTCAGTTCCATTTTACTACATAAAATTAAGCCATTGCTTTCTATAAACAAAGTAAATTTTAAAGCTTTCCAACATATTTAAAAGTCAAAGAAAAAATATTACATAGTTAGTCACAAGCTACCTATGCACTTTAACCAAATATTCACCATTTCAGGTTCGTGTTTATCGTTATCTACACTTAGCTGTAACAGACTCAAGCCTGACAATTTTTCCAATAGAGAAATATCAAGAAATGATATATAGTAAGTCTGAAGTATAGTAATCAGAAATGACGCATAATAAGACTAAGGCATAGCAACAGAAGAAATGCAGGGATGCAGTTCACATTTAATGGATCTGGTCCAATTTTAGGTTTCCTTTCTCTTTAGAAGTGTAACCGCTGCAATTATGTTTAGCTGACTAGAAATTAGCTAAAAACTTAATTTTACTTTTTTCCCAACACTGACATATTAAATAACATTTCAGATTTAACATAAAGGCATTGGCCAAGTGTAAGGGAATATGCCTGCAATCCCTAATAGGACACCGAGGCAGGAGGATCACAAGCTCAAAGCCAGCTGTGGCAACTTACTTAGACAGTCTCAAAATAATAAAAAGGGTTGGCAATGTAGTTCAGTGGCAGAGTACTCTGGGTTCAATCCTTCATTATGTACTTAATAAAGTTATAAGATCTTGAAGGCTTTTTTTTTCGGTACCAGGGATCAAACTTACGACCTCACGCTTGCCAGCAAGGCGCTTATACCACTGAGGTAAATGCCTGGTCCTAGAAGATTTTTTTATTTCATCTTGAGCTATCAAATATTATTCTTACTAAGTCTTCTCTCCCTTCTAATTATCCTCTCACAATTACAAAAGAAATCTAGACGAAAACCAAGAGCTATAAATACAACTGTTCCATAAGAGCTATTAAAAACACAATACCATTTATATAACCTCTTACTTCAAGAATATAAATTTCCATATTCAAGCTACTTGACAAAGCTGGGATATAGCTCAGCAGCCCTCTTTTTTTTTTTTAACTAATTTTATTGGACACTTTAGAGATACATAATGATAATAGTCCCCACAGTGAATTTGTACCTGTACATAATGTATCTTGATTCTTTTTTTTCCCCCGAATTCTTTCTCGTCCTTTTGATTCCTCTTTCTCTCATTTACAAAAGCTTTGCTTCCATTTTATACTTTTCTTATTTTTTCTTTTCCCTTTTTTCCTCCCCTACCCTTTGTTCCCCTTCCCATTTGAATATTTTCTTCCTTCTTCCCCAATATCTACAATAGACTCTGGTCTTTTTTTTTTTTTTGTACTGGGAATCACATTCAGTGCTTCATGCTAGCCAGACAGGCGCTGCCCCGATGAGCCACATCTCTAGCCCATGGTCCTTTTGCACTTCTTGTTTTGTTTTTTGTTTTGTTGTGTTTTGTTTTATTTTGAGACAGAGTCTCACTGTGTAGTGCAGGCTGACGTTCAAATTCCTTACTCTAGCCCGGGCTGTGCTGGAACTCATCATATCCTTTGTGCCTCAGCTTCCAGAGCACTGGGATTACAGGCATGTACCATCACACCCAGCTAGATTTTGGTCCTTGTTTGCCCTTTCCGTTTCTCATACCAGAGAAACAATGCCATGATATTTAAACATTCATGTCTGATTTATTTCATTTAAGATACGCTCTCAAGGTATAGCCATTTAGTTGGAGAGGTACTGTACATAAGTAGCAGAGCCCTTGCCAAGCATATGTGAAGCCCAGGTTCAATTCCAGCAATTAAAAAAAAAAAGAAACTACTTGACAAAACATGAAAAATCTAAAATTCCTGTTTCATCTCTTTTTCCCTTGATGGTGCAGAGCATGTGTGCCCATGGAGAGAAACGAGGAGAAAGAAATGCAACGACCTTCTTATATTAAACAAAAACTTACCCACTTGAAGGATCTAAGGCAATAGCTCTGGGTTGATCCAACTCTTGCCAAAACAAAACTTTTCGGAGAGATCCATCTAAATTAGAAACTTCAATCCGATTAGTTTCCGAATCTGTCCAGTACAATTTTTCTCCAAGCCAATCACATGCCAGTCCATCAGGGGACAATAATCCAGAAACAACAACATTCTGAACACTCTCAGTTTTGTTAAATTCTGTTCGCTTAATAGCTTCTTCGCTGACATCACTCCAGTAGATCAAGCCATGACCAAACACAAAGTCCACTGCAGCTGCGTCCTCCAAGCCTCCAACTACTATTGTAGCATTCTCTTTACCATTTGTAGCATCCACCAATCGCAAGTCCCGTCTATTTGCATAAAGCAACAAAGGGGCCGCTGGAACAAAAGAGAAAAACTTGTAAGTGAAAAGAAAAAAAAGTACTGGTTCTTACAAATCGGGTTTCAGATTAATATTAGTGAGTAACTACTACCAAAATTAAAAAAGGATAAATAAACCAATAGGGCAATGCCTAAAATCTTTTCAAACACAAAGTATTATTTTTGCAGCACCTTAAAAACAAAACAAGGGATAATTAATTCCACCAGGTCAGTCTTTCCTTATTAAAAGAGAGTCTCTGTCAGAAAAAATTAAAACACTTAGCCATACTAAGAACAAGAAAGGATGCAGTACTCTTAGAACACTCATAGTCAACAGAGCATGCACTTTGGAGAATAGCAGGTAATTTCTTAAAAGCCAAACATACACCTAGCCATTGCACACCTAGTTATTAATGTGAAAGAAAAACAAAGCAATACAAAGACATATATATTATACATATGTTCATATCAATTTACATGTCATAATCTAAACTGGAATATGATAGAAAAACTAGTGAATAAACAAATTGTAATGTATCCAGAGAACAGGAATAATTAACTATTAGTCCATGAAATATGGATTAACCTCAAAATAATTCACAGTAAAAGCCAGACCAAAAGGAGTATTACATGCCTCCACCTATAATAAATTGTAGAAAATGAAAACTAATCTATTATGACAGGAAGCGGATGGCTGTACTAATGTGGAAAAGACGCATGAAAGAAGAGGAGGTAGACATTATAAGGGGCTCTGGGGAAACTTTGTGTGTGATAGGTATTTTGATTATTATGATAGTTACAGAGGTGTATACATAATCAAACTTATTTTAGCTGGGCATGGCAGCACATGGCTATAATCCCAGTTATAGGAGGTTGAGGCAAAAAGATTGCCACAAGTTCGAGGCCAACCTGAACTACTAATGAGATCTTGTCTTAAAAAGCCAAAAACAGGGCCAAGGATATAGCTCAGCAACACAACACCTAGCAAGCATGAGGTCCTAAATTCAATCCCTGATCAAAAAGAAAAGAAAAGCACATCTAATAAATTTTAGACATTACAAAAATATTATTTATTTTATTTATTCATTGTCTTTTTGATACAGGATCTCACAATGTGGTTCAGCCTGGCCTTAGGCTCACTTTGCAGCCTAAGTTGGTCTCAAACTTGCAATGATTCTCCTGCCTCAGTTTCTCAAGTACTGGGATTACAGGAGTGTGCCACCATGCCCGGTCCAAAAGTACAATTTATTATATCTTAATAAAACTACTAATCAGTCTACCACAGCTAAATCTTTATATTTTATCATCATCATGTCTTAACTATTTTATTTTCTTCATTACAATATCCTTTAAGTAGATCTCATACCAAAACTTAATATAAACCTGTCTTAAAGAAGAAACATTCAACTTTGAAGTTGAAGCTATTATTTGTACTGAAGTAGTACAACTTCTATGGTTATTTGTTTGATGTTTGTTTGTTAATTCTCTATTCCAGAGAGAACTCTATTCTAGTTTTTAATTTTCTATTTACTTTCCTAGTAGCAAGTAGCAATTAAAAATCTAAAAGCCAGGCACAGTGACTCCTGTGATCCCAACACTCCTAGAGGCTGAAGAGGACCACAAGTTCAAGCCCAGCCTGGGCTACACAGCAAGAGACAGTCTCAAAAAAAAGCCAGAGAAAACCTCAAATGTTACTGTCGTACAGAACTTCCTGTGATGGAAATGTTTTCCCCACTACACGATGCAGTAATCTCCAGGCACATATGACTATGCAAGGTTTTAATGTGGCTAGTAAATTCTTAAATTTTAACTTTATAAATATATTAATTCATTAATAAGTTCATTTAATTTTAAATAACAAACATGGCAAGCATAAGAACTGCATAGCAAAGATCTAGAGGTATGAATAAAGAATACAAATGAAGCAACAATACCAGAATTGATGCAATAATCTACATGACCTAGTTTGCTAAGTACTTACTAAAGGTCTAAAGCTGTATCATCCAAAGCCAAGTCTTTGTTATTCAAAGTAACTGTTGCCTCTTTTTAAAGAAATCAATCTAGGACTGGAGATTTAGCTTGATGGCATAAGCGACAGTCTGGCAAGCACAAGGTTGTGAGTTCGATCTCCGGTACAGAAGGAAGTAAGTTACTCTAATACCAAAAAAGTGCTCACAAAAATGTATTTTAAAAAAGTGATCTTTAAGTCCAGTCCTGAATTGTGAGTTATAATGTGCACTCTGTTTATCTGAAAGTACAACCAAACCAAAATTCAACTTCCTTAGTCAAAAACAAATGACAATGCAGCTTTAAAAACAAAATGCTAAAGAGTTCTTTATTTACTTGGTACATCTTCTACAGCTACTGACAAATTCATAAACTTCTGTAAAAGATTCATTTTGGTTTTTTTTGTCTTTTTCCTTTTTATAGGTACCAGGGATTGAACTCACGAGTGCCTGCTTGCAAGGCAGGTGCTTATGCAGCTGAGCTAAATCCCCAGACCAAAAGATTCACTTTTAATTCATTTCAGTCCTTCAACCTTCATACTGATTTATCAGTCCCAATGGAGCTAACTATATTATCTTAGATTGAGCTTCTCATTCATAGTTCAGGCCAAATACAAACACCAGGAAAAGAGGTCTTCACGAGTGAAATTATAATGGTAAGCGCTGAAGAAGGATAAGAAATAGTTTCAGCACCTTAAAATTAAAAATCCAAGTGATAATATTTATTGATCACCTTTGTGGCACTAATCTTGGAAAATTTTATATGCCAAATCTGTATGTGGTTGTGGTAGCCAAACACTGGTTCTTTTATGACTTTTTAAAATCAAGCATTTATATTTCCAGAGTCGTTTTGGATCTGTAAAACCCAAGGATCCTTCCTAGTCATTTAAGGCTCACAGTTTTTTGAGTACAAAATATTTAAAAAGTGGAGAAGTCAGTATTTTTTCAAATTTAGGAGTACTAATTCTGGTTAAGGATTTCTGAAGGCCTGTACATAAATCTGAACAGTATTAAAAGGAAACCCCAGAGTTCATCCTATATGACTACTCTTTTTATACTTTAATATTTTCTACTATATTGTCACCAATATCTGTTCAGCAATATATTACATATAGTTTTGTAACATTATCTGAAGAGACACAGTAGTCGGGCACGGCAAATACAACTGTAATCCCAGCACTTGGGAGGCTGAAGTAGGAGGATCTCTTGTCAGTTCAAGGTCAGCCTGGGCTACATAGTGAGTTCAAGGCTGGTCTGAACTACATGGATCGCAAAACAAAAGAGAGAGTAACTCCACACACTTCTGGAGGTAGCATACATGGCAGGCACTCAGTATCTTCCACTCCAGACAGCTCATCTTCAGACTTAATACTACACTAAGGCTACGATAACTCAAATAATACCAATCACACTCATTAGTGAACACGAACCAGTGTTTAGGAATCTTGTTTTCCGTTATCAAATGCCTGCTGAACTTCCTGCAGCAACCTTTCCAACCTTTTTCTGCTTTCCTAAAGACAAATGTCATGCCTTAAATCCTTCATTCTCAGGTCACCTCATAAAATCATCTCAATGAAGCAGGAAGAATGGAAAAAGTCATGTATCTCTAACACCTTAATTTATACCTTTTGAAAATGCCTCTATCCTCCCCTGCCTGCATAATGTAAGGTGGCCTTCCTCTCTTCTTTTACCCATTCTCGTGGTACTAGAGATTAAGCCCAGGGCCTCCAGCTAGATAAACACTCTGCTAAGCTATACATCCGGCCTTTTAAAAAATTTTTTTATTCTTTACTTTTTTTAAGACAAGGTCTCCCTAAGTTACCCTAAGGTCCTGACCGGCCTCATACTTGGGATCTTTCTGCCTTAGTCTTAGTAGCTTCAGCCATCTTCCCTCCTTTCCTAAGGCTAAAGTAGTGCTGTACTTTTGCTTCCATTTCCCTACCTTTTCTCTGCAGCTTTGTCCCAACAATTGTTAAATACTTCTAACTTCAATGTCTCATACAAGGGCCCTGGTATCAAAAACTTTGTTTTAACCCTGACCTTGCTACCACCAAGACAATAATTTGTTCCCTTACCCATAAAACCATATAATTTAGTATACACTTTACACCACCACTCATAACTAGGAACTTCCTAACCACCACTCAAGCGAAACTGCTTTCTCCAGGACTTCATAACCAAATCCAGTGGACTTTTCATAGTTCTTATTTATTGACTTCTCTGTAGCATTCAAAAACTGCTTAAGAATATCCCTTCAATAAGTAGAATGTTCTTTTACTATTATTATTGTTAGTCTGCCTTTTACTTTCAAACATTCCTTCTACTTCCTTTATGTAATACTCCAAGACACCCTGTTGTTTCCCAAATGAAAGAGTATTTTTAAAAAATATAAAGGCAAGCATGATAGCAAAAACCTGAAATCTCATTCCTCTAGCGGAATGAGGTAGAAGAATCCCAAGTTCAAGCCCAGCCCAGGCAATTTAGAAATTTAGTGAGACTCTGCCAGAAAATTATACATTTTTTTAAAGAACTGGTGATATACCCACTTTGACTTTCCATTATCTTGATTTAAAGCCCTGTATTACTCTCACCATCTTGTTTTTGACTGATGTCCCCCTATTCTGCTTTGCTTGATAGTACCAGGTTCGAAAGTTTAGGCAACAGCTGTGAAGATAGTGAGATTCAGTATGACGCCCATTCTCGATGACTTTTATCTACTTTTGAAGACCTACAATGTCTCCAATGTTTTGGTTTTGTCGGTTTTGTTCTTTACTGTTTTGCTCAATTTTATTATAACTGATGATATAGGCAATTCTATTAGAGATAGTGGGAGGCATTATGGTAACCAATATTGATCACCTTGTATTATGCTTTTACATTATCTATTATATCCACCCTTTTGATTTGATTGACTCTGTTCTGTTATGTCACATTTGGTTCTACTCCCTTCCAAAAAAGTAATAAGAACTGTGGGAGTAACAAAACCCAAAATGTGTAATTGTCATTGTACAA